GCAAAATAAAAACATTTAATTATAAAAAAAAAAAAAAAAGAAAGAAAGCTAAAAGGTCATTGAGGATTAAATAAAATAGCATGTGCCACACACTCTCTGCTTGGGGCCTTTACATGTATCATCCCCTCCACCTGGAATTGCTCAGGTCACCTACCCCACCTTCCTGCACCTGAGTTTCTCCTCCTCATCTTTTAGGTCTCAGTTTGCATAACATTTGATCCCCTTACATGAATGAGTTGGGCTCCTCCTATGTCTTCTGTAGCACTTGGACAAGATCTCTTCATTCTTTGTTCTTTACCAAACTCAAGAATCAATGAACAGGTCATCTTGTTTTCCTTCAACCGCCTTAGTGCCTATCACATAGTAGGTGTGCATCACATTTTTGTTGTGTGAATGCATAAATGAATGCATATTTATAAATTAATACCTTGCACATTTCAGGAAGCATACATTGTTGGCTTCTTTCCCTTACCTTCGTAACTTTAAAAAAATGATTGGCTAGAGTCTAGTCTAGAAGGCAAACTAGCATTAACCAAAGAAATAGCATTCTCTCCAGCTTTATATTTAAAACTTTATCACATGGGACTTGAAAAATGTCACAAAATTCCTGCGTCACCCTTGCTTTATCCCTCTCCAAAAAGCTTTTTGTTAATTCCTGAAAGTTTTAAGACATAACTCAGGTGTCTGAGCCCATTCAATGTCCCTTCAGCTAAAATACAAACTCCTCTGTGGGGCTGGAACTCATCGATCATTTTCTGTCTTCTCAATTTAAGTGTGAAAGATAGTATCAGGCCTCTAGTTGAGATTAGATGTTGATGATGAGTCAGAAGGGGGTATGGAAAGAGAAAAGAACACCAGAGTAACGGGCATGGAAGGGGCAGAAAGGCTGAGAGCACTAATAAGGGGGTGGAAAGGGAGAAAGCAAGAGGATACAGGCTCAGAAAGGCAAAAACCAGTTGCCATCGGGTACAATGGCTCATGGTGACCCCATCTGTGTCAGAGTAGAACTGTGCTCCAGAGGGATTTCAATGACTGATTATTCAGAAGTATATTCCAAGGCCTAGGGGTGGACGTGAGGCTTCAACCTGAGCACAATAACCGAACCACCCAAGACTCCTCTGAAGCACAAGATCTGCATAATGCTCTACATGAATACTATCCTCTGTCTGAGACCAAACAAATCCACTCTGTTAAAATCCAGATTTCTGTGTCAAAGTTAGGAGCCATAACACACTTTATACAAGAGGTTTTCACCTATTTTTCTTAAAGTCACAATTGCCGTAGGCTTTTGCTACTGAATTTTGTTAGCCTACTAGGATTTTTGCTTGAAACCAGCTACTCCTCTAGGTTGCAACAACATCAAGGGCCCCCAAGCACTCTGTAGCAACCCCAGATCTGGGTCTCACCTCGTAGGATGGTGACGTTTCGAAGGATTTCTCCGTGCTGCGTATCCACTGCCTTCATCTCTTCCATGATCATGGAGAGGTTGCGGATGTTGAAGTCCAGCCGGGCACTCAGCAAACTGAAGCGCTCCCTGATGAGGTCCGTGGTGCCCAGCATGAGGGAGACTGATTTGTTCAGATAGTAAAGCTCCTCGGCATGGGTGTGGAAGCCCAGCGTGCAGGACAGCCGCACGTCGTCCAGGTACTTTAGCATGCTGTGCACGTGGTTGTCGGTGGCGTTGATGTTGGTGAAGATGGTGCCAATCTCAATCTCATGAGAAGTCATGCGTCCTTCTAGCGTTTCAAACCGCTCTGCTGTTCGGTTTTGGGCATAGCGGGTATGGTACTGTAGGTCGTGCATATTCTCCTCATGGTCATCCAGGAAGGATGAGATGTTATCCAGCTGCAGCTGCAAGCCCATGACCTGCAGCACCAGGTCATGCATGCTCTCAGAATTCTGGCTGATACGCTGGGACGAGACCCCCAGGGTGGCCTGGATGTTCTTAACCACTTCTCCCGTCTTGGCTGAGGTGGTGCGCAAGCTGCTGAGCAGCCGGGTATAATTCTGCCAGTCAGTGACAATCTTCTGTAGTGTCAGGGTTTCTTCATCTGTCTTCCTCTGTATCCCATGGATCCACTCTGCAGTCTGCCCCACAGTGAAGTTGATCTGGTGCACTGAAGCCCTCACATCATAGCACTCTTGGGCGAGGTCCTTCAGAGACAAATCCAGACCACCTGTGGTGGACTGCCAGCCTCTCACCTGGGTCAGGAAGAGCCCCAGGGACTGGTTAACCTGGTGGATGGAGAAGGAACAACTGCCCGTCTCCTGAGTTATCTGACTGCTGGTGGTGGACAGCAGTTCGTGAGCCTGAGAGGTCTGGTCCAGCTGGATCTCCTGGGCCAGAAGCATCTTCTGGATTCCCTCCAGCTCCTCCTGCAGTTTTCTGATCTCTTGCCCCAGCTGTCCAGCTTCATGGCAGAAAGAGCAGTTGCTCAGGGCTTTCGGATCTTCATGAAAAATTGACAAAATTTTTGAGTCAACAAAGAATCATGAGACAAAGATTGCTTCTTCAAATTAAATATTTCAAAGCATAATGAACTGATAGGTGGCTTTCCAGCCCTCCTTCCTTCCCTATATAATAAAATCCTGCTAAAAAATCTGTCTTGAGGAAGCCTTACCATCTCTAGGAAATCTCATCTTTATAAAATGTCATTCCTATGATCTGAAATGTAGACTGTAGGGCATTTTATCTTACCACCGAATTTTCAAGAATGTATCATCATGACATTTCTGTGGGTGCCAAAACTCACTGGCATTGAGTTGATTCTGATTCATAGCAACCCCCTGGGAGTCCTGGTATGGCTCTGTAGAATAAAGCACTGGGCAAAGTTAACTGACTGGATGGCACTTAACAACAGGACAGAGTAGACCTGCTCCTTAGAATTTCTGAGACTGTAAATCTTGATGGGAGCAGTCTGCTTCCTCTTTTCTCATGTGGAATAACTGGTTTGAATTCCAACCTTTCGGATAGCAGTCTTATGCATATCCCACAGCACCACCAGGGCTCCTAAGGACTTTCCATTTATATATATATTTAAAATTTTTCAAATATTTTCATATTTGTTATCTTATTTGATCCTCTTACACTGAAGTTGGAGTCCTGGTGTGGCACTGTGGGTTAATGTGCTGAACTGCAAGGTCAGTTTGAACTGCAAGGTCAACGGTTCAAGCTCACCAGCTGCTCCGTGGACACCCTAAGCAAAGTGGCTATGAGTCGGAGCTAACTTGATAGCACTTAGCAACAGCAGGCACTGTACTTGCAGAGAAGAGGTTATGCTGATGAGGAACACAGGCATACCGAAGTGGCTGCTTACATATTACACAGCTACTTAGTGGCAGAGCCAGAATTTTCTCTCTCATCAGAGAAAACCACTTCCAGGTCCTTTTTTTTTTTTTTTTTTTAAATCTCATTCTCTTTGAAAGCTTCCTTGTTTAAGTAGGAGACACAAAGCACTGTGAGCTGAGGCACAATTTAAGGCAGTTATGAGTAAAAGACTGACTTGTTAGAAGATTTTGGGAAGCCTCACACAGGATTTCAGATGCATGAGGTTATTTTGGGAATATGACCATATTTAGCTTCCTTCTCTACCTATAGATTCCAGCTGGGATTGTGGGAATCTAGCTGTGCCTCACACGGAACCTCCTTGCCCTATCCTGGTATATCCCAGGCTAGCAGCTCTTTAAGAAGAATGGTTCTGCTGCTGGAGACAGAAACAGGAGCTGTGGCTGTTTGTTCCTTTCCTGTGTCTAAAATTTTGCTGAGATGGTGCCCTCAAGGTCACCAAGGCATGATATGAGTAACCCTGGCTCTATCCAATTTATACTGGCCTTGGATTACAGCCATTAATACTCTGGACACTGGACACTTACCCAGTCCTTGGAGATTTTCCTGAACAGACACAAGCTTCTTGTCATAAATGGACTGGGCTAAGGAGATGTCTTCTGAGAGAGAGTCGACTTTCCTGAAAACTGCAGGAAAATTCAGATGAGATATGAGGCAGGGTCCTTGCTCAGAGAAACAACAGAGTTGTTTAAGAAGGTATTTCTATCAGCCCTGCTGCAACCCAAAGCATTCAACCTTCTTTTATGACGCTTCCCAGTGGCTTATGGTCTGAGCTTGCTATATACCCTTTAAAAACGAAACAAAGAAAACAAAATTTTCCTCCAGATTTTAAAAATAAGACATAGGATAAAATAAGGAAAATTCGGGAAAAAAATCTAAAAAATATTCTTAATCTTACCATTAAGGTTATTACCAAGAGATTCTTGTTGATAACTGTTGTTAAGTTTCATCGAGTTGGTTCTGACCCATAGGGACCCTGCATAGAGTTTCTGAGGAGTGGCTGGTAACTTTGAACCACCAACCTTGAGGTTCAACCCAACTTTGCAGTCCAGTGCATTAACCCACAGCACCACACTATCAATACCATTGTGCATTTCTTCTCATCTTATTTACACTCACAACCATCCTACAAAACTAAAATTGGGATTCTGTGATTATCTCATTTACTTTTTAAAGTTTACATATGAATGTAAATATATGTAAACATACTTATATGAAAACACACACACACATATGTATGTAAACTTAAAGAAGTAGATGAGGTAATATACATATTTACATATGAAGATGAGTAAAAATTCTTTGAACTTTGGCTGTAGAATTTATTTTAATCAACTTTTAGAAAACCAAATACATCATTTTCCAACATACTTTCCTTGCTTTCTATTACACTTTGTCCATCTGTCAACAAAAATTTTGTATCCCCTTATTAAAAAATGTTTTAGGCTTTGCTGAGAACCATGAATGCACCTCTGTCTTTACTTCTTATTGATATTTTCACAATGTTAAGTCTTTCTATCCAGGTACATTCTTCCATTTTTGTAAGTATCTTTTGGTTTCTTATAGTAGTGTTTTGTAGTTTTCTTTGCATAAGTCCTTTGTTTCTCTGGTTACATTTATTCCTAGATATTTCCTCATTTGGGTGGCGATTGTAAATGATATTGCTTTGCTAACGTCCTTTTCAATGCTGTCATTTTTGGTATAGAGGAATCCAACTGATTTTTGTATGTTGATTGTTTTTACTTCTTAATTAAAGATTACTCTTTACCCTCAAAGGGCTGCTTTCAGGGGACCAAACAGGCAAGAGTTCAATGGAACAAGATAAGGACTACAGGGAGGATGCTTTAAAACCTCAAAATTAAGTTTTTGCAGAGTGTCAATATTGTAGGCAGAGGTGTGTGGACATACATTGTCATGCAAGATCACAAAACCCTTAGATATCAGTCCTCTGCACTTAATCTGAAGCTTAGGCTTCAACTCTTCAGTGAGCATCTCACTGTAATGAGCACTGTTGATTGTTGAACTTTTTTCCTGATAGTATTTCAGTAATGGCCCTTGAGAATCCCAGAAAACTGTAATCATCTATTTTCCAGCTAATGGTTGACTTTTGAACTTTGTCTCCGTTGGCGATTGAGGATGTTTCCATTCCTTACTTTGCCATTTACTCT